TCTGCTCCATAAACATAAAAGAAAATACTCTGTATATATTCCATACATTTTCTCCTTGCCTTTACTGATACGGGTTTGGCAGGAAAGATTAGTACATGAATTGTTTAATTGCAAAGGAAGCTTGAAATTACCCTGTACAGAAATTAGATATTTGCTCTTTGCAAAAATAAAGCTCATTTCCTCTCCAACAGGAGTTGAAGAGTTAGGAAAACCACTATGACAGTGGAGTATGCAAAAATCACAGGTCCAGGAAGATGACCAATAGCTGCTAGTACATTATATTTAATGGTACAAATAATTTATATTTACTACATATGCATTTGCTATATTTATTACCTATACAAACTACCATACTTATACATGTACATTCATATGTGAATCATTGCTTGTAGCAGGAACAATTAGACAGACCTGAAGAAGACCACAGTGAATTAATGCCGCTACCTATCAGTCAAAGCTGAGAAAAGCTGGCAGGGAAATGAAAACAGGCAGGGCTGCCCCTGCAGCAGCCCTGTGAAAAGCTCAAAGGAGCTGTGGGCATGCACATAGCTTTTGTGTATGCGTGTGTACAAATACCAGAAGTTGTGAAACAGAGTAACTTAGGATATTGGTATTGGGATGCAAAGTACAGAATAATGATTCTGCTCAAGCTCCTATGAACAGTGAAACATTTGAGAGGTAAATGAATCAGTGGTCTCAGGATAGTTCTGTGAAACAACTCCATGACACCACTCACAAAATCTGACTTGCCGCAAGATCTTGAATACAAAACCTGCCCCTTCAGAGCTAAGCAGATAGCTTGTTCTAAGAGTAAAAGGTATTGCTACAGCCATAGCAAAGCCAAAATCCATTTCTTAAGATATACATCAAAGACTGCAGGTCTCTCCATTTAAACTTTTCTCAAGCAAGTCGTTTCATAAAAATAGCAGAAGAGGACAGGGTCCAATAAATCCAAGCAGGGATTTTCAAAGCTGACTTACATGCCCTGTTCCCACTGAATTTAGGTGCGACTTTATTCCCCAAGATGCTGCAAGTTGTATCCCTAAATTTTTTATCAAAATAAAGACAGTTTCAGAAAACATATACTCTCATGCTTTTACTCTATCTAGTTTATATAGCCTTTAGCAGCAAGGATGCTAAATGTACCACGTAATTAAACAGACACATTTAAATATGGTGTACAATACAACTAAGTGTGCACTTTATTTTTTCCATGGTATAAGTGGAGAAATATGTGTGGGAACGGTTAGATTTTGGCACAGAAATAGTAGATCAGCTGAGGATTTTATTGCTGGTGATAGCACTAACAGTAATAATAAATATGATTTCCAGGATTGCTTTATATTTTGACCGTTACTGTGGCTGTAAACTGGGTGTGTATTTGTGAGTGTGTTTCCAAAAATCAGTACAGAAAGATACCTGCAAATGTTTAAACTTCCTAACTGATGTTTGTGAACTCACAAACCTCAGACAAAAGCTGTACACAATGTTCATTCCATCTACCTAATAAATTCCTAAATGTTTAAAGAATTTATAAATATCACAGTTAGCAGTCCCTGTGATTAACACAATCTTCAACCTGATATACCATTACGTTGTCTACCTACATGTTTAAATACAAAGGCAATACAAAGGGTCTGGCCATAGGAAAACAACAAAATATATGGGATTCAAGCTATTTTAAATCATCAGACAGGCAGAGTTTAATGTTTCTATGAAATTGCAATCTATTATTCAACTCAAGCAAATATTACTAGAATATTAAATGCTTAAATAACAAATCATCACTGAAGACAATGAATTAAAATTAGTCTCCTGTAAAAGTTAACAATTTTCAGAGATATTTTCAAATTTTTTTTGCATATTGGAAAGAATATCTATGCTTCCATTAGAGAAATATTGCAGCAGATAACATCCCTTACCAATCAATCAGGGCTTAACTGTAGTCTTCAAGATAAAAGAGAAAGAGAGTACACTTAAGGTACACTTTAACTACCGTGACATGGCAAACCAATGTAAAATTAGGTTTGATTTCTATCACAATACAATGTCTGTTTCTAGAAATAATTTAAATAAAGATTAGTAGTGTATCTAAACCATCAGGTAATAACTATCACTAGCTTCGGAGTAAAAGAATTATGCTGATATTTCTTTTAATGCATGCATTCAGGGGCTTTGTTACATCTCAAGATGCCTTCAGACACTAGACAACATATTAAAAAAACATATGCACTGTATACAGGAAGTGAAGCTGATTGTGATTTTCTCTTTAAATGATGAAATGCCACAGTGAAATGTAACCAACAGCCAGCAGTCTACTCTATTTGCCCACCTGCTTGCCATCCAGTCATGTAAATACTATATTAAAATACCCAAAATACAATTACGGTTAGCTTCTAGACATTGAATCTCTTCCACCAATTGCTAAACAACATTAAAGCAGGAGATAATTGGTTTAGAGTCATTTATCCTGGGCCCCCATACTGCCTAAGTCCCAAATAACATCTCTCTTCTGCAAGATGGCAAGAGTACCAAGCTCAGAAATACTAAATGTAATTGAAAGCTTTCTTCATCACAGCACTGTATCCCACAATGAAGGTTTTCTGACTAATCCACAGAGCAAAATATGAGACTTTCTTTGCTTATGAATCCTTGGTTTCTAACCAGTCAAATCGGCATTTCTTCAGTGCTCTTAGGCATTTTGTTTTCAGCATAAGCTGGTGAATTCTTTCTCAACTCCAATTGTCCTCCAAGTAATTTTGGTCTCTGCTGGAATATTTGCTTTATCATAGCAAGGGTACTGACTCCAGTTATTGAATGTATGAACAAGAAAAAATGCTATTAATGGTCAGAACAGTAAATGGATTTATTATAGAGTATTATGATGAGGGTTTATCCAAAAGACACAAAGGAACACTGTAACTCATGGAACGTACAGCGAAAATGCTCAGTTTCACCCATTATTCCAGAAACAGTACTGGTTTAATTCATAAATTATTCAAAGCAAAGTGAAATGAATTTCACAGAAGTGCTGAACTGTTAACATTAGTATCAGTGAAAACTTTGAAAGTTATTTGAAATAAAAAGGTTGAAAAATGAAGTAGTGACCATTAGCACAAACCAAGTTTCACATCTATATACATATTCCATTTTAGTATTAGCAGAAAGACTGAAAATAAAGCTCTCCCCACAAGTGGAGAAAGAAGGACTAATTTTAATAGTGTTTTAACAAGGTACATGCAGAATAAGTGCAGTATTTAAGAGTAAATGCCAATGAACACAATTTACCCACTTCTAATTTGTCATATAGAATTGCCCTATATCTCATTGCCCTCACTGGAATACCAAACAGGTGACATGACTCATGTGTTTACCACCACAACACTGCTATTTTAGGTTTCATCAAACACTACAATGTGAAAAAGCAGGGCACAGTTTCAGTTCATGGATTTATTTATTTTTTTAGCACAGTTCACTTAAGTGAGTGTTGGGAGTTTATTTAACAGATAGCCTGTAGGGACATAGCATACTAGCGATGTCTTTTCCCTCTCCTGCTTTCTTCCTGTTGCACATTATCATGTCATCTTTCAGCCTTTTAACTAGACACCTGGTACAAAAAATTTTCTGGCACCCCATAGAGTATATAGACATTCTTATGGGAAAAACCCAACTCATTCATGACCATGTTTTTGGTGAAATGGTTTGGAGCTTTATGTTCTTAAACAATCATGTAGCAATGCAACAAACCCAGGAAAACTCTTACCAAGTCATAATCCATTCAGATTATCTTGTAATAGCATGTTCTGCTTCATACGGGGGGGGGGAGAAAAAAAGGTAGGAAAAAAAAGAAAGGAAAGCCTCTTAAAATTACTACTGACAATAATAAATTTCAGGAGGGCCAGATTTTATCTTTCCTTCTTTTACTACACATTACTGCTTCTTACTCTCCCACTCAAATGAGAGACACAATCCCTAACTACCCATTGTCCAAAGAAGCTGCAGATTAAATAAAGGAATGCTTTCAGTATGGCCCATCTCCCAGTGCAACAATATATTTAGACTACACATTATTTGACTTGATTATTAGAGCTGTTTACTTAACTATTAGACTTTGGCCAATTAATTTATTAATTTAAAATGAAATAAATCATTGTCATTGGAAAATAATTTTATTATCATTATTATCAGCAGCAATGATCATTTAAGGTCTGAGTAGCTATTTTTCACATAAAGGAACAATCTAAATGAAAATTAGTAGCTTGAGCAATCTTGAGGAAAATCAAAGAGATGGAGTTAACATTTTTTTTTACAGCTCCATATTTTAAAACTATGCACTGGCAAAATTGAAGTGAGTGCATTATTAGGTCTCAGGGTAAATTCTCAATGAACACATACATGTGAAGACATAACATTCTTCAGAAAAGGCTATATTACATGTAGTTCATTATTGCATCTCTCCATCATATAGACTAAATATTTTAACTCTCTTATGACTGAAGTACAACTGACTTGTAAAATCAACTACTACAATGTACACACAAGTATAATCAATGATGGTAATTTACACTGACATACCATTTACCACTAGGGCCAGAGTGACAGATTTTTTGCAATTAAAAAAAAAAAAAAAAGGAAGTGTATAGTGATTTTTTTTCCTATGTTGATCTTTTGTGGTATCTGTAATTTATAGTACTGTATTTTAATACAAAATGCATATAACTATTTATTTTTTAGTTCTACATATTATACTGTCATGATTCTTTGTAATAATTTGTTGTGATTACCATATATTGAAAATTATTTTCTATAGCCCAGTAAATACAAATAAAAGAAATTAAGATTTAGGTTTCTAATAGAGCTGAGAAACATGAACTGTAATTATAAGTGTCACCTAGAAGTAAAAATACATGCAGCCAGCATAACAAACAGGAACTTCCTATTTCCATTAAGTACTTGGGTTTACTTTATCTGGCCATTTACTACTGTATATCAAAGTTTCATTAAGACCAAACAACATACTTTGCAGCAAGTTTATAGTTTTCCAAATCTTTCCTCAAACGCATATTCTCAGCCTCAAGTTGCTGGTTGCGGGTATACACAGTTGGAACCAATCCAATATCTTTGGCTGTGAACATACCTCTCTGTACAAGTTCATACCTAGTAGAAAAGAAACAGAGAGATTTTTTATTCCATGTTTCCTTTCTCTCACTTCACTAATGTCTCCCTTCTTATGCTAGCATTTACCTAAACTAGAATCACAAAGATATTTATCATCTCAAGGCATTTACCATTAATGATCATTAACAATTAGCAACAGTACTATCCTACCACACTGTTCTATTTTACTGCTTTTCACTCTAAAATGTATTATTGTTCATAATAGTCAAAAGACATGTCCTGTATAACACAGTACTTCAATTTAAACAATTGTTCTTTCCCTTCCCTTCTTCTGAATAGCTTAAATAAAAGACAGAAAAAAAAATATTCTTGTTCAAATAACATTTGTATATACTCACAGTCTTTTTTTATCTCATATGCTCCAATATATCCAAGATTTATTTTTTTTCTGAGGACTCAAATAAGATGACAAAGCTGCAGATAACCTGGATGAATGATTCTATGAGCTATCTTCAACATGGAATACAGAGTTCACCTAGGGAAATTTCTTCATTCCTTCCTGTTTACTCATCTTACCCTCTCCTTATTTAATTATATTTACCAATATTTACCTATTTTACTAGCCCCTGAGAAAACATGATTCCCTGATGTAGAAGTCTGAAGGCTATGTCCTGGGTTCAGCTGGGATAGAGTTAATTTTTTTTACAGGAACCTGGGAGGTGGGGGGGCATAGCCGGGGCAGCTGACCTGAACTGGCCAAGGAGCTATTCCATACCATGTGACATCATGCTCAGTATATAAATGGGGAGCGGGCGGGGGGGTGTGCTCTTCTTTTCGGTGGGGGAAGTGGCAGAGCGTCGGGGCCCGGGGGGGGAGCGGTTGCACTGTGCATCACTCTTTTTGTATACTTTTTCATTAGTCCCGTTGTTGTTGTTGCAATTTCTTTGTGTTGTTCCAGTAAACTGCCTTTATCTCAACCCTCGAGGTTCCAGTTTTGTTTTTTTTTTCTCTCCTCCGTCTTCCCCCCATCCCACCGGAGGGGGGCGGGAGGAGTGAGCGAGCGGCCGCGTGGTCCTTAGTTACCGGCTGGGCTGAAACCACGACAGGCTACTTTAGTTAAATACTTGTACAGACTAACTTGCATTTTGAGAAGTAAAAGAGAATCTGGAGCAGCATGTAATGCTGTGTAGCAACCTGGGAATCTCTATAAGCCCTGGCCATAAAGTCTACTCAGTCAGTCTCGTATCTTTTAGGATTATCCATCTTTTGGTAGGATGTCAATGAAAGCTAAGAATACTCATGAATACGAACTTTTATAGACCAACTGAAGACAATGACATTGTGCACTACTGTAGCTGTGTCGTGGTTTAACCCCAGTCAGCAACTAAGCACCACACAGCCACTCACTCACTTCCCCCTCCCCCAGTGGGATGGGGGAGAAAATCAGGAAAAAAAGTAAAACTCCTGGGTTGAGATAAGAACAGTTTAATAGAATAGAAAAGAAGAAACTAACAATGACAATGATAACACTAATAAAGTGACAACAGTAATAAAAGGATTGGAATGTACAAGTGATGCACTATGCAATTGCTCACCACCCACTGATCAATGCCCAGTTAGTCCCTGAGCTGCAATCCCCCTGTCCCCACTCCCCCCAGTTTATATACTAGATGTGACATCACATAGTATGGAATACCCCGTTGGCCACTTTGGATCAGCTGCCCTGGCTGTGTCCCCTCCCAACTTCTTGTGCCCCTCCAGCTTTCTCGCTGGCTGGGCATGAGAAGCTGAAAAATCCTTGACTTTAGACTAAACATTACTTAGCAACAACTGAAAACATTAGTGTTATCAACGTTCTTCTCATACCTAACTCAAAAACATAGCACTGTACCAGCTACTAGGAAGACAATCAACCCTATCCCAGCTGAAACAAGGACAAGCTATGATATCAGTTCAGCATAGGTTCAGTGGAGATATAAATAATTTATATCAGATAAAGACTATAGTCCCACAATCTTCTTCCCTGCTGATCTTGACTGTAGCTGGAAGATATTCTGTGTGGGAACTCACTAGAAGGAGTAATATGAACAGTATTTGCCTTTTCAGGTGAAAAATATATTGAATTTGTGCATTACTTTTTTTCCAAGTAATAAGTAAGTATGAAAAGAACAGCCGTAATCAGAGATAAAACTATACTAAATGCTATCTCTTGCACTTGGACACAAGCAGCAGATTTGAAACTTGACAGCAAGCACAGCATTCCTAGATCAATAAAACATGTTGCAGAAACAAAAAGTGTTTGTAGAATAAGGGATTCTTACTTGACAACAACTTGTACTTAACATCTTCCAAAAAAATTAAGGGGAATGTTAGAAACTCTTATGTCTAAATGCTACTTATCTGCATTCTGTGGACACTTCTAGGAATGCTCATGCCTATGAATTAAGCTGTCACCCACATTCACCACCAGTAGATGAAAGGTTTTTGAAAAGTTAAACTGAACATGTCCAAAGCAAAATTCATTCTATAATCACTTCATTTTCTTAAGCAAATTACAGTAGCAACAGGCTTTAATACTGAGAAAGAAGCTTAGTCTTTTTTCTTTTGTTTTTTTCAAATGAACATTGACTGATGAGCAGGTACAATTCCTACTGGAAATATTACAAATAAGGGCACTTCTCATTGCAGATGATCACAACTCTACATACTCCTTCATCTGCCAGAAAAGTTTCTCCACTGAATGCCCTAACTACATCTCATGAAAACCATCAAGTTTCTGCAAAGACACATCAGACATGGATAATTGATGAACTTAGCCTCCAGCAGAGCTAAGAACTCTGAAAGATAATTTTAATGAAATACAATTAATACCAATGAATTCACTATGCCCTTGTCTAAGAACACTACTGAAAATGAAGGCTTTTGTGCATGTAGCAGAAATGAAATAGAAAACCACACAACAAAATTGCATTGTGAAAGCTCATTATCTTTCATGAACCTAGTCCTGTAAAACTTACAGAACTCCTACATACCTAGCCAACGGCCAAATAGCTGTTGTTTCACTTCTTTCCATTACAGAAGGGAACTGTGTTGCAAATTAAATTAGTTCCATGCACACACAGGTATTTTTCTAAGCTTTTCAGAACAACTGAGTTATTACTTTTGAATCACACTTTAAAATTAACCAAGAATCTGGAAACCTAAGGAACAGATGATCAAAGCCCAGTGCAGACTGACTAAAAATAATACATTGTTACTATATACATTACACTGAATTCAAGTTTCTAAGAGTTCTAAAGGAAACAGGTTGAAGAGAGGACCTGCAATAAACAAACTGATATATAGCTCAGGGTAATCCTTTACTGAGGGATAACTCACCTAGAGATGTATTCCGGGATTAAAATTTCAAGGTTTAGCTTTTACAAGAACTTCTTACTGAAAATTATCATTCCAATTGATAACCTCTTAAACTGTTTCAACAGAAGGCTGAGAAAGAAATGAGCACAGAAAAATAAAGCACCTTTTTGCCCTAGAGTGCTCCAATCTATTACGGCATATAACTAGAACATTTATATTATCATATTATGCTTGTCAATAGGCAAGAAAGTAGGTATGACCACATGGCTTATCGCAAAACAAACTTGAGGTTACTTCACTTGTGTTCTGAGCCAGTTCTAATCCAAAACTTGAACCTGTTTTAGTGTGATGCTGTCCTGGAACTGATAGCCCTCGTTTCTCTCAGGATTTAAGAACTCAGAGAACAATGTACATTAACATGACCATATGACTTCCATGCCAAAGAGGACAGAGAGCAGAGGAAACTCAGGTCTGCCTGAAATAAGCAGATTGTTTCCACTGTCTTCAGGGAGTTGTGACATGGAGGATCACAACGTATATCCATTTTCTTCATTCTGCAAAAGGGAATCTTTTTTGTAATGAGTCTACCTTTATACTCAGAGAAGACACAGTAGCTTTGTTGCATGTGCTCCATTATGCACAGCCCAGGCAATCTTTGCAAGGCTTACACAATACAGACATAGCTTTTAACCTTGCTTGGTCACGTAAGTTTATTCATAATTTTAACCACATCAAACGGAAAAGAATTTTCAAATCATGTTTCTGTAATTAGTCTGCAGCTTTCCTTTTGCTCACAGGCTGAAACACTGCCAGGTCTCTAGGAACACTTAGTCAGAGATTACCAGTCCAATGAGTGTATTAACTAATCACAGTGATAGCTCCATGCACATGTGTGAACAGCAAATGATTCATCTGCTCATCAGACTGGCAACATGCTGCAGGCAGCACTGAGCTCTTTGGGATTAGGAGGTATAGACTGTCAGATACATGAATTTACAATTGATCAGCCCTTGCACTTCATACTCCAAAGCTGTCAATCCAATAACTTTAATAAGCAACAAAAGCACTATGAAGTCTTGTATATCAAAATGATAGAAAATTTAATGGTAAATTAGATATTCTAGAAGTAATTTAAGTCTAATTTAAAGTTCCTTAAATTATAACTGGAAGAAAAAAGTGTACATGCAAAAAAACTACATAAGGAAAAAAAGTCACTGCAAGTGTGATAAAATTATTCATTACATCATAGAAAAAGAGTGGGTTTGGCTTAAAATAAAACTTAATCAAGTAATGACATTTTATACAGCTGGACAGTAACAGAATGTTTTCTCAAACTCTGAAATAAACACAGATAATTTGGTCCAATTTAAGTGACCTTTAGATCTCAGACAGACAATTATTTCAAAGCAAGCCTTTTGATAAATCTTCTCTACGTTAATTAATTTCTCATTTTAAATTCCATTAGTACTTGATCACGACAGCATGAGATTGAGAGTGTCGTCCCAATACATAATGAGGAACCTGAGTACACTAATCTACTCTCACTTTCATTAATATTGTAAATTATCTGTTTCAAACCAACATGAAACATTTTGAAATAAGGTATTAATGCAGAAAAAGTCTCAATACAGTAAGATTAGATCCTGACTTGCTGAGCTCATTTGTAATGCTACTGAAATTAAAAATATTACTTACAGAGAAAAAAAAATACATATAGCTAAGGATTTACAAGATATGGCCTGCTAAGACCTGCACTTGCTCGTTAAAAAGCTATTTGAATTTTGCCATTGAGATAAATTCAGACTGTAAGTCCTTCAAAGAAAGCTGTAGTTGCATAAAAGGGTCACTATTTATATCTGTTTAGTATTAATTATCTTTTAGCATAAAAACTGTTAAACTTCAGAACTTAATGCTATTCATATCAGTTCTTTCGTTGAAAAAGAATAGAGAACTATAGTGCTTTTCTCTAAGGAATCATTTAAGTGGCACTGTTATGCTACCAAAAAGCAGATCATTATTAATTCCAAAAGCAATGCCTGATTGGTGAGCTCTATGCCAATAAGACCAGAGCCTTGCAAATAACAGCAATGATTCCCCATTAGAGAATATTTCTAAGAAAATTTAAAAGCTTCAAGGCTTTTGTAGGAAAAAAAAAGATGTTTCTAACTTTTCAAATTCACTAATTTTCAAATTAAACAATTTCAAAAGGCCTTATTAAAAAAAATCTCGGAACCTCTCATGTTTAAGGACTGCCTACAAGGTAATTCAAAAAGATGTGTTTCCACGTCTCAGAATCTTTCTTGTGTAACTTGCAGATTCAAAGCAATCTTTTAACTGTAAGTATTTCAATAGAAATTTATGACAAGTGTCATCTTTTGCTCCAAAATAATTCAGCTCTCCTTTCAAGCTTTGCAACATTCCTGGCACATCATTCTTAATCAGTATTAAAAAAAGTATACATCCTGTAGGATTCTGTATATAAAGAGAGCAGTGGAGGGAGTGGAGTATTTAGACAAAGCTGCATGTTTAAACTTCTACACAAAATATGGGCAAAATCCCTGCAATCTATATAAGCTTGGAAAAAGAAGACAGCAACAGTTCAAGAGCTTACTCTTCTGATTATTGTATGAAAGAAAGAAAAAACTAAACCAACCATATTATTTGACTGATGTACCAAAAATTACCAAATATCAAAAATTTTAATTATGCTACTTAAAACACAAGGTATATATGATGAATGTCCAAACACATCCAAACAATTAAAGGTGCAAATACTATAGCATACTACAAAATATTCAGTTTTTAAGCAGGCACCCATGTTCTGGAAAGGAAGAAAATCACAAAACCACATGATTTCTCAGCACTGCTGAAATGAAATGCTGGTCATTTTGCATTGGACTCATTTGATCCAGTGATGCCTTCTGCACTGCAGCTGGTTTTAGTTTTCATTGGTAGTCAGTGGAAAGCAGAATATACTTGAAAAAAGTGTAATTTAATTCATTTTGTCTTAAAGCAGACAGCTTAAAGAACTTAGATGAGTTGCATCCTGAAAATGAGTATTTCTCTTCACTGGTCACAAAAGCAGCCTCAGGTGACCACTTCAGGCTTGTAAATGTCTAGAGTTAGGCAAAATGCATACAGTCCTTAAAAGGCACCTGTTTAGGAGCTCCCTGGAGTCAGCTTTCTTGAAAGTCCGTCTTTAAAACAACAGTTTGCATCCTCATTCTCAACATGAATATAATTATTTGGTAAAACACTACTTATTTAAGAATGACTTGTACTCAGAAGAGTTTTCTGGAAACATGTCCTGAAATACTGGAAATATTAGCATCCTGAGCATCTACTTCCTAATTCTCAAAGTAACACGGTCACTTAAAATATTTTTACCATTCAGTCTGGAAGCAGTCAAGAGTTCTGGACATTCCCAATCTGACCAGGAAATTGCAGAAGAAATCATCCATTGCTTCAGGTATTTCAGACACTGATTTCTCAGAAGTCAGAACTGACTGCAAAGCCTGAAATAAAAATTCGATAATTGTTATTAAACCTGTAAGAAAAATGTAATTATCATACCTTCTATTTCTGAAGTAATTTAAAGTCACAGATCTACTGAAGTACAGCCGAATGTTTCCCTTGTCTTTATTGATCACTTTAATCACTGATCCTTCCAGCGTCAAGGTCTGTGAAAGGTTATAGAGAAGCTAACTCAAAAATCACCTGATTTAAACAAGTATTCTGAACCTGACTTGAAACTATTTAAACTGATGGATGATCTTCTGTCACTGACCCGGGAGTTCTCATACTCCTGCATCCTTCAGCAACTTTAAAAACTACTAATAAGAAAAATCAGTACTTCATCTAATGAAAAATGCAAAAGTCCAAGGTGACAGTAAAATGGCTTATATTCTTTTTTGTAATGATGCATGCAACGGAGAGACGGAAAGAACTGCATCTCCATCATTAGATCTCTTAAGAAGTATCACAAAGATCAGTTCTCCTCAACATCCATATGCAGACACTAAATGAAGCTGCCAGACAACATTGCTACAAGTGCTAGCAGAATGCAGATGGTACACCAGGCTTCACGTGCAGCTCCTCCAGTGCCATCGAGATAGACAGCTATTCAGATAATATCAGCTCATGGGTCAAGCCCAGTTGCCAAAAGCAGAATCAAAACAAACCAGAACAATCCTACTATGGAGAAAAAGAAAACCCCTTTCACAGTTTTCTGTTGCAATGCAAATTTTTTTCCTTCACTCAACCCCATTCAGCCCCCTCAGTGCTTAGCTTGATACTAAACTCTCCCAGAAAGATTTCAAGGTGCAAGGAGGTATGAGAAAAGTAAAAATACAACCTAGTCTGAGACTACTCCCCCACAAAATGCATTCAAATATAACCAGATGAGAGAGACTGCCACAACTTGGCAGTCAAAGAGGTGCCCTTAATTCATTCAGACTTCAAATGGATTACAGCAACTTGACATTGCTAAATATGAGAGTCTAGGCATTTGGGAACTCCACATGGGCACAATGCTACAATGGACTTGCTCAACGATGCAGGCTACTTACTATCCAAGACAAGATACTGCACTGGGCATGCCTGCCTCCTGGTGAGAGGATGACAGAACAAACCTGGGCCTGACAACTATCACTCAGCACACTCTTGAAAGAAACTCAGATTCTATGATAACGTGTGCCACATATTATTAAAAAAAAAAGAGATACCACTATAGAGAAGAGATGAGAAGCAAAAACAGCTTCCACACATGCCTACCTTCTTTTCTTCATTTCAGTACTAACAAAACTGAAAAAAATTCCAGTGAGATATTCATCAAGACATGCTAAAGGCTGTGACTGCAAATTATTTTCTCCATCCATTTAAAAAAGAATCTGTAGGCCAGGGATTTTTGATAACTCCATTCATTTATGGCTTATTCATGTCCTTAGTGGGAGCTCTATTAACATGACTGCATAAATTACCTGGAGATAAAGGCTTCTCTCCTGGTAAAATAAAAACACTGGAAAAATCTCATAGCCATTTTGTGTAATACACAAAAGAAAATGTTGTGTTTATTCCAAGCAACCTACCTAAAATAAACAGAAAGAATTGTACATGGATGATCAAGGCCAAGTAACACTCTATTATGAATAATACAATATGCCAAGTGCAATGTAATATTTAGCATATTTTCGTTACTAGAGATACAGTACATCAGACAGCTCTATTTTCTAATTGTGGTAATACAAGAACCAAAAAGAGTACATCTGCAGACATGCAGCTGCATCCCTTTTCTTGCTTCTTTTCTTTCTTTAGTCTAAGTGAGGCAAATAGCTAATATTGTTGCTTGTAGTTTCCCAAATGCATCTATTAAGCCAGTCTTCGGAAGAAATGACACGGCTTGATTCCCTTAGTAAATGGAAATATGATAGGAATTCATTTCATCTGTGCAGAAGAGAATTTATTAGCTAGATACTAGCACTGAGAATCATTTCAGGAACCGAAGCTCGAGCAGGGAACAATATAGGGAAAAATGAATGCAGTCTAACAGGCACAGTATTGGAACAGGGCCTCAGGAAACCAGAATTAAATTCCTAGCTCTTCTGCAGACTTCGAGTGATACTAGGCTAGCAACTTTCTTTAATTTAATATTAACCTTGGATGACTACCCATAGAATGGCATAACAGTAATTTTTTTGTATATATTTACCTATTTAGAAATGAGGAAAATACAATCTATTAATTAATGTGGTACAGACACCCTATAGAAGCTATATAGACAAAAACATCTTATTAAAGGATTCCAACCATTAAATCAAAATAAAAAACCTAAATATTTGCTTTGTTAAATATTTATTAAATATTTCTTGGTTAAATATTTAAATTAAAATCTTTAAAATATTTTGAGTGCAAGGACTGCACATATGGCCAGTAAAATAACATAATTGCTAAAAGCTTAACCTTAAGGACTTCCACAATACTCACAAAAATTTCTGTCAAATGAAGAAAGATTAACACCAAATAAATTAATAATTTCTCTGGAAAATAAAATGAGATGTTCTTACAAAATTTGCTAAACTAAAGATGAATAAAAAAGGTAATTCAAAGATTTTTAACATGATCAAACAAATTATAAATCAAACCTACATAGAATATAACGTTAATGAAGGGCCATGTGACTTCAGAGTATCATTGGGGATATTAAGAAAATAAAGATCCTGGAACAGAAGTGTAATAGCTGTAACTACTGAAGAAAGCAATTCAGCCAACTTTCTTTTGTGTGTGTGGTTTTCCAGAAATTCTGCATCCTTCTCCTAGGGTCCCTATCAGCTGAAGATTTTCTTTCATATGCAAAATATTCTGTTCCTTGTGTTTAAAAATAATTTATATTACTTTACAATGCCTCAAAACAAGGACAACAGAAAAAAATCATGACTTGTGACTGAAAAGGAAAAATTATGACTAGAACAGGAGGCAGAATCACTGCTATCCAAAGCATATGCTGCCCAGCACAGCTGTATTTTGAATCAGCTGCCATTGTTGGGATCCAAACAAAAACATGAACTGTAACTGTTGAGGGAGCCTCACCAAACTCCTTAAAGACCAGTAGTTCTACTGCACACGTGCAGAGATCCAGAAGGAGAGAAAACGTGCCTCAATATCCCCTGTAGAAACATAGCTTTAATTCCTACACACCAATTATTTTCTTTTAAAAGGTGAATAGCATCACCTCTTATTTGCTTATGTTTGCTTTTCTTAATTTAGTAATTAGTGCTAATTACTTTGGAAGGAAATCTGAAAATAAGCATTTTTCTTAGATTTTCCTGGTTATACTTGACCTTTTTAACAAAGCATAAAAAAACTGTAGTTACTCAATTTAGAAACTGTGGATATTTACAGTATCTGCATTTGGCAAATCACTTTCTGGATGCTCACTTGATCTCTATATAATTTCTTTTCCTTAACAAAAAGATTTGCATCTAGTACTGAAATGCAATCTTTAATACGGGTTTAGGTAGAAAAGTTACTATGAACAGCAAATATACACAGTCACTTAAAACTGTTTATCATAGAGAAGCTATTCCAGGATATGGTTGTTACCTAATTTAACCTATTTTAGCCAAGATTAGAAGCTAATAATTGAAAAAGTGTAACAATTATTTATCACGTGAAGACGACAGCCTTCTACTGTGCTTCTTAGCTCAGAGTTTGGATATTGATCCAATATTAATTCACAGGAAACAGTGCTTCTAACTTGGGTCACCAAAAGCATTTGCTGCAGCACTTGGTCTTTCCAGTGAATTAGCATCAATCTAGTCAGTGACCCTCACAAAATACACAGTAAATCATTATGAAAGCTGTCAAGCAACTAGCAAGTGTATTAAAATATTTTTCTATTCAAGTCTTTCTGTCTAAAGGCTGAAAATATTATTTCAATTTCAAAATTATGGAAAAAATGAGGCCTCCAATTAATGAGTCAAGAAGCAAGGCAGATCTCTATTCATATAAGCACAAAATCAAAGAAAATTTGAGTTTAAGCACACCCATTCTTCTGTTTTAAGGAAAGGTAACACTTTCTTCAGTTTGATTAAATGGGATAGATATTAGCATATTGTTTCCTACCACTCAAAGTCCAACAAATCAATAAAGAGGTAAAAGATTATATAAATATAGCACTGACAAAAGACCAAGAGATTAAAAACATTCTTCCTTGTTTCACTTTTTATTTGAATGTCAACTCACACAGTAAAACCGACATAACTTCAGTTATCCCTAAGAGCATTAAGAATTTCCACTACTCAGTTAACATTAAGCATGTTCCGTTTTAAAAACTTCTGCCAACCTTCCCTTAATTTTCAGGCACATACAGTTTCATAACAGTTAACACTCTGGTATTGTCAGTTTTCATTCAAAGTTTGATCTAAAATACAAAACGGATCTGCTGATAGGCACTAGTGCAGAAGAAAATACACATTTTTGATCCATTTTGATGTTAAGAATCATTCACAATTTTATCTTTTCATTATTAATAATTTGCTTTTGCAAAACAAAGACTATGACAATAGCTTACTGATGAGGCTATAAGATAGTGGCAATATTAGAAACACAGCAGGGAAAAGCACTTTTCCTTTAGATTGTTATAAGCAAGTAAATTCAGGTAAATCATATTTTGGAAAATGCAATATAACAATCCCATTGTGTAACTCTGAACTATTATATGACTGTTTTGAAATCAAACTGTAAATGTAAGAACTGTCAAAAACTAGTAGTGTGAAATGATTGATGATTTCATTAATATTTTGATTTTACATAGCATAACAGCCCATTCTTTATTTTTGATATATGAATAATCTTTTTTAGCGAAGTATTCAAGTACAAGCTTCTGTGGGTCTTAAGCATATGCAGTTTCTTTCCTGTATCAGGGATCACCCTCTCATTCAATCCATTCAGATAAAGAAACAAACCCTAAAATAATGATACATTGTAATAATATTAATAATTACATGGATAGATAATTTAAATATGTTACATGTGTTTGCAGTATCAGGTTGTTTATGGAACATAAAATGAACAAAAGTTAAAGGAAGATGAAACCCATGCAACATAAGTTACCTTTTCCACTGTGGCATTTGTTTACCCCTAGAAACTTCTAAAAAATAAAGAGAAGAGACAATCTCTTCTACACAAATATTTCAACATTAGAATAAATTATCATATGTAATTTTAAGCCACTAATGCCAACTGAATTACAGAGTCTTAGAAAGTTTAGGAAGTTCTTACTAAAATTTGGGCATCTTCAGCCTGCTCTTGAATAGTCTGCAAAGCCTTTGACAGATCCTCATCATCTTCCTGAAGACTAAATTCATCATCTGCTGGAATCTAGATTAAAGGATTTAAAGTTAGGTATCAGCATATCTGATACATCTTTCTTTCAGAATACAACCGTTTCTACTCCCAGTACACCTACTGAAAATAGTCTCATTCTTGTTAAAATAATATTTTGCCATATTTAAACAGAATTTATATTACTGAAATATTCATTATTAATAAGCTGAAACATCTAAATAGAAATACCTGTATCTTTGAAAAAGTATTTAATGTTCAAATAAAAGTAAAACATTACAAATCAACTGACACTAAATCTTCTCTTGAAAAATAAAGATATGCCTAGCATCACCGCACTTTATAAAAGGAGATTCGTGTCATTCTTCCAAGGATGTTTTTGTGACTGATGAAGTAAAACAAAAGAATGAAACATGAATACCACATATATCAGAAGATTATCAATTTAGTAAATTACCTCTTCATACTGATAATCATCTTTAGAGTCGTCCATTATGGTTAATTCTGCAGATTTTGTTAAGTCTGAAACAGCTGATGCAAGTGATGAGTTCCAACTTAAAAACAAAAAAGGTATCATAAACCCACCATCTATAAATGTTATCGCCACATTCCCCCTTGTTCTTTTTGACACAAGACTTCACACTTTCAAGGCTTCTTTCAGCCTTTAGGTGAACAAGCCCAGCTCCAGTGAAAACTATGTGCACAGAGACAGAATTTAAATTCAAAGTTTTTAAAGCAGGCTCAAAATTTGCCTCATCAGATCAAAGGCAGAAGTCAAGCACTGTTCTGAATTAAACAGTAGCTCAACTCTGCTCTCACCCAATCATCAGTTTTTGCAGGGGTCTTACTGCACTGAGACTTTCACAGACTTTGTGCTTCTAAGCATAACTAGCTTCAAGCTCTCAGAGAATCACATTTTGTATCAAATTCAGATGCACAGATGTTCAAACATGAACATCTGAAATCAAACACTGAATACTAAAGGACCATTTACTGAAGCTGATCAAATGCCTCAATAATTACAACACAGCTACAATAAAAAGATAAAGAACTTTCAAAATGTCAAAATTAATTTGGAAATTATCTACAGTTCCTCCAAATGCCTTAGAGTCAAACTTTTCACTAAAAAATAACTACAAATAGTGTAAAATGAAACCCAAATAAACATTTTTTCATCCACTAGCCTCACCGCCCATGAAAGTACAATGAAAATGTTTTTAGCAAGATGCTCTGTTGACAGTTTCCCTAGGAAATCAGTTAGCCTACAAATGACCTGTGTAAATAAACCAGAAATTAACTTCCGAAGAAAAGAAAAGCTGGCAATTCAGTACTTCACACACCGAGGAAAATAAAAAGATACAGGGTTTTCCAGCTTTGAATCAAGTTTCCCAAATCTAAATTATGCTCCTAAAAACCAGGCCTTTTGCTACAGTTCTGACAGTACAATATATGTGTAAAAGCATCATCTGCATTCATGACCCCAGCATCAACAAAACTATCAGTTAAATTGTAACCATCTGGAAGGCTAACAGCTGAAGATCATGTCCCAAAAAATGATAACCACCATTTGGTTTTTAGAGATGTTTTTCAGAGGGTTAAGATAAAAGATGGAGAGATGTCATTTTCTCTTGTAAACAACAAGAACAAAAAAACAAACAGGGAAGTCGAGTGAATAAAGGCATAATTTTCAGTAATCAAGTTGAAGCATATCATGTAGTTGGAGGTACACAGATAACTATAAAAATGGTATAAATAGGAAACTGCCATGAACGCTTCTTAAGAATCTCCTATCTAAGCTTAGTACATGAAAGCAAATGCCTGTAATACATGTGCCCGCAAATTTACTTCCCAAATTACTGCATCACAGACTGCAGGTGTAGAACACAGGACTCGAATTCAAGTCACCACCTCTCTGCAAAAGCTTCATTTTCTAACCTGACTGATTCTTGAATGTTTAATTCTAAAACCTGAACTGTGCAGAAACTCATCTCCAGAAAATGTGCTTTCTTTCATAAGGGGGAAAAAAAAGAACGGAACACCCAAACTATTAGATTTAACAGGCCTAAGTCTGTTCTCTATCACACCAGAAGAAATCTGGATTAACTCTTCTGACTTTAATGGGATGACATAGAAATTGTGCAGTCAGCAAGTGCATCTTTTCTCAGCATGGTACTTCAGGACCATATGTGGGTCCACCAAGGTAAGCAAAGAGAACGGAGATGAACATAGCTCATGTTGAGACACAACTGTCAAGAGCTGACCCAACGGACTTGAGAGAACAATCAGAGACTCAGGCATCAGGCTAGCTTTTAATTGTCTGCCTGCTACCCAGCATAAGAGGAACGTTTTAGTCCTCGCATCAGTGTCTGACCACATCCTAATAAAATAGCTTCAAAGTCCTAGACTTTGTTCCTTCAACTCGGAAAGAGAAAAGTTCATCTGAACTGCTGATTACATCAGAAAAAGGGATCAACAGCAAGGTGCGAGTGCAAAGCAGGAGGAATAGGTTTCCTTTATTGTTTGAAAAGGCAAGACGGATGCTTGCAGCACGCGAGTCAAGATAAGACACAGTAATATTGAGTGACTAGTCAGGGTAATGTTCTAAAAAGCCCCTTTTTTAATTAGATTAAGATAACCTTGCACTAGCTAGCTGACTACATATTCTCTCTTTAAAGAATGAGAATTTAAAGTGTGGTCGTGTTTGTATAGCATGAATACTTGGGTACAACATTTTTTGTATGAAGCAGGGGACAATTTCCCTATATATGTAGTAATTCTACGTACAAACTAAGTATCTGCATAGAATCATAGAATGGTTTGGGTTGGAAGGGACCTTAAAGATCATCTAGTTCCAACCCCCCTGCTACAGGCAGGGACACCTTCCACTAGACCAGGTTGCTCAAAGCCCCATCCAACCTGGCCTTGAACTCTTCCAGGGATGGGGCATCCACAGCCTCTCTGGGCAACCTGTTCCAGTGCCTCACCACCCTCACAGTAAAGGACTTCTTCCTTACATCTAATCTAAATCTACCCTCTTTCAGTTTAAAACCATTACCCCTCTTCCTATCACTACACCTCCTGATAGAGTCCCTCCACGTCTTTCCTGTAGGCCCCCTTTAGGTACTGGAAGGCTGCTGTATGGTCTCCCCAGAGCCTTCTCTTCTCCAGGCTGAACAACCCCAACTCTCTCAGCCTGTCCTCATAGGAGAGGTGCTCCAGGCCCCTGATCATCTTCATGGTCCTCCTCTGGACTCACTCCAACAGGTCCAGGTCCTGCTTATGTTGGGGGCCCCAGACCTGAACTTCTGCATATTTCTGTGGAACTCCTAAGCCTCTTCATTACTTTATAGCATAGTATTTATCAACTTAACATTAATTTAAATAAAGTACATTTAAATAAAATACTGTCTCCAGCAATTTTTCACACCACCTTTAGTGATTTGATCAGAGACTGTTTTTTCTAAAGCTATCTTTTGTATGATCCTCCCCCCAACTACTTCTTTCTGCATTTATCAAATCTTTCAATGCAAATAGAAACATCACCACGGTATACCCTTCATAAGTAAAACACTTTCAAATACTGTGTTTTTTTCCTGAATTTTCTACTGACCTGACTGTCCTTGTGATCCACTATCATCTAAACTAATGCATCATTGCAAACACTGTACACAGACTAAAATATTACGTTAAAAATCCTGATTTATTTTTTCCTCCTTTTTCCAAAAATCATAGCTAGGTGCACAATAAAACAGAGGAATTAATTTTTAAAACTGTTGTATTTTCCCAGGAAATGCTGACAATTTTTTTTTTTTTAACACATCCTGATGCAGTGGTTTTTTTAAGCACACCACACAGTGTGAAAACAGCTGTGCAGTTCCAAGGAGGTAGAAACTGAGGCACAAGCTCACAAAGGACAATCTTCCTTTTTTTTTTTTAATTGCTTTTATATTGGCTTACATCTTAATTCTAGCAAGGCAGGAAAAACTAAAGTACTGGTAGGTCTAACACTTAAGCTGTGATTGTTTAACCTCTAAAACAAAGCTTGAAAGATCTTGATTTGGCAGCTCACAGCTGCAAAAGAGAACAGACAGAGCTAGTCCGATCTAATGACAAAACTAGAATTTGGGTTGTCTGACCAAAAATTACATATTTAAAAGCCATAAACTCTTAAAATAATTTGCTACAATTCAGTTGTGAGAATTCTAACTGAACTTCCCCCCCCCCCCCCAAAAGCCACAGCAACTAGAATTATGTATAGGTTATTGTATCATAATCTTTATAACTTGGTCAAACACAGTACTAAACAAAACCACGAATATCTAGCCAGTTACTCTGTGTGGCAGGCACTGGGGAATTAAGCAGCACCTTTTACAGCAGCACATTGGGACTGAGTCCTAATAAGCTCCCTAGATATTTTGTGTTTACTGATCAACAACTAACACAAGACAGGCGACAAGAGTGTTTAATTTCAGGATTTTAACTCTTGCTTAGACTGCCCCCTCAGCAAGAGAGGATAAAATTACTCTGCTTTTCCTACGGGTAACTCAGGGACTCTTACCGTTAGCAATGAAAACAACCATCACGTTAAAAGTGAGCAAGACCCTACTGTCTCGGCAGGTGGGGAAAAAACAAACAAACAAACAAAAAACACTGAACGCCGCATATTGCCCCTTTTTAGCCTCCAGGGGCAATAACCCACAAAAAGAATCAACAAGGTACTGGGCCTTTTTTTGGCTTTTCCCCCCCCTTACTCTGTGAAACAACTTGGCAACCCGCCGGTCTCCCGCTGGGACGGTCCTGCCCCGGCTCCCAGCGAGCAGCCAGCGCCACAGGCAGGGCTGCACGGGGCCCTCGCCCTGCCCGACCCCAGCTCCCCCCACCCAAAAAAAGCTGCCCCCGAGGCAGCCCCCGGGGTCCCCCCGCCTGGGGAGGATAAGCACACAGGGAGGAGAGCAGGAGCGCTGAGGAGACGGCCCCCGCACGCCGCTCGCCCCCTGAGGCGGGGAGCCGGCGGGACCCCGGGGCGCCCCGCCCCCCCCAGCCGCCCGCCTCAGACGAGGAGGAAGAAAATACTGAGGAGGAGGAAAAGGAGAAGGAAAATACTCCGGAGGAGGAAGGATACTCTGCAGGCAGAAGGACGCCTCAGAGCCCGCCGCCTCCTCCATGGCCGTTGCCTCCCCGCCGTCGCGCCGTGCCGTTGCCAGGGGCGGCCTCTCGCGAGAAGAGGCGCCCGCACCTGTCCCACGGCCAACGGCCGCCGTGGGGCGGGTCGGTGGCGGGAACAGGCACCCAGCGGCGATTTAATTTAATTTCGTTTAATTTAGCGTTACTCACACCTCGCTTTGTTGCCCGCGGAGGTCTCAACGAGTGCTGTCTTTAAGCCGAGGCGAAGCTTCTCCACGCATTTTACTAGCAAGGAAGTGGCCCCGGGCCCGGCGGGGACCGTGAGGAGATTCTAGAGATTTCCAGGGTGGTCGCTGGCCAAGCCTGGGCGGGCCTTGGTGTCCCCTCAGGGTTCCCCCACTGACTTCTGGGACCTTTCTGACTAGGCTATACTGCATTTTCTTAAATGGAAGGAAAGCAACAAGAGAAGGGAGGGGAAAACTGCTTCAACCTCATAAGAAGGGACTAATTTCTTCTTTAAAGGAAACATTTTTGTAGCTGAAACAGGTGTTTGCTGGTTCACCTGAGCTCAGTCCTGTGGGACTAATTGCTTACATTAAGTTCCTGCAGTATGTTCAAGTTTAATTAAGAGCAGGAGTTTTCCCAGGCAAAAGTTTGGGAAAGAAGCATACCATATCCTATACATTTGTGGAGAAAACATGTTATGGTTCTTAGGAGTTTGGGATGAGGCTGCAGGAATCAACAAAAAAATTTCTGTTCCTTTTAAAAAAAAAATAATCTCAGAAGTCCCAGTCTCAAATTTCCATTGAGTTAATGGGCGTTGCATGCAGTAGGAATTCAGAATCAGTGCTTGAATTCATGTACAGTAACTGAAAACAAATGCCCAAAGTATCGGGGGTGGGGTGGGGTGTAAAAAAGAAGTGCTAATGTCTGGTGTGAAAAGAGAGGCACCAGTTTTGCTTAAAGCTTTAAAAAAAATAAAAACCTAACCATTGAAATACAGTCTGAAGATTAGAGAAGATGGAAGTGGGTAAAATTGAATTACATCATTCAATCCAGTCTTCAGCCTGAAAAAACAAGATGCAATCCTGCAAGAGGGCCTGTTACTTGTGAAACTATTGTTTTAGCATTTTCTTTCCAGAAATCTTCACACAGGATTGCCGTTCCTCTCCCATTGTAGACACATTCTTGAGAAACAATGAGTACTTTGGCACTGTCAAAGTCTCCAAACTGTAATAAAAGAACAGTGTTTTGGCACAAGATCATCACAACACTGCTAAGGTGACAAGAACTGTTGTATTCCTTCATAAATTCTCTATTGTCAGCTTTGCCACTGGGTTGAGTTTGATATCTGTCAGGGCTTGAACTCATCTGGGTTCAAGACATGGAGGGCAAATGCTGGCATACCTTTCTTTTTGTCTTGCAGGGTTGGTTTTCTCCTTTCAGAGGAAAGGAATGTGACCAGAACAACATTCTTTCATCCATATCCAGCCCCACAGAGCAGTCCTGAACTACAGCAGAGCATCTCAAAAAATAACAAAGAATAAGCAGAAGTGGCATCATAAAGCACAACAACCATGAGTCAGTACTTCCAAAACTGTGGGATTAAAAAAGTCATAATGCTGTTGGGATGGCTTCAAATGAAGGCTTCATTCTCTTAGGGAAGTTCCAGTTCCACCACAAATCACAGAGTAAGTGTAGCTGTACTTATGTCATACAGGCAAGCACAGCTGATTAATATCATAAGTTAATACCACTCATCTCAGCAACAGGTTTACTCTTAGCCTTTACACAGAGTTGAACAAACAAAATGCTAAGCAGTACCCTTCTCTACTTCTGTGAGTTTCGTCTGCCTCTACAGGCCTAACTTCTGCCTACAAATTTTTCACAGGACTTCTCTGTCTCACTAAAATATGGAAATATATGGTATCGACTATTGAAGAAGGCTGATGAAAGCTTAAAAAGGGCTGAGAAGTGCTTTAGGGAAGATTAAGATTGGAAAACAATTAATAGTGAAGGACAAAAGGATCTCAGTCTTCTTGGTTTATTCAAGGAATAGTTAAACAGCTTGATCAAAGTGCATGGGTAATAGATTTGGTAAGAAAGGCTACGCAAAGATAGAAACAGATCCAACCATATCGAGAATTAAATCAAAAGAAATTACAACCAAAAAAAAAGGGCAAATTTTTAACAAATAACTATTTGACTGGTTTTAAAGTATAATGGAAGCTATTCCTGGAGGATTTTAGCAGTGACAGAGTTTTTCATAAAAGTTATGTTCTACATTCAGACACCAGCTAGTTCAGGATGTCTTATGGCTTACATTTTCAAAAAAGTCAGATATGGTCATTGCAATGGTACTTTCTATGAAAAAAAAAGTTGAAATGAGAAGGTAACCAGTTCTACCGTATGTGGAGATTTGCCAGTATCCTGAAGGACCCATAGAGTTCATCTGTTTGCTTTTAAAGATGAATCGGTTGGTCACTGATTGTTATTTTCCAAAGGTTTAAAGCTTTGTTTGGAAACAGTGTTTGGTTGGCAACTTCTAAACTATTTATGTCATCCCATTGTGACTATATAAATGAGCTGATAGTACAATAATTTTCCTCCAAAAGGCATAAGTAGCCAACTTGTTTCTTTCTACCTTATTGAGAGCCACCTACCATAAATACATTATATTTGGTTATTGCTAAGCTGAATTCCAAACACCCAATTCACCCTGCTTTATAGCCTCATAACAGTCTGAGTTATGAATGATTATCCTCTCCAAAATGGCAATAACCAATGCTGTTGCTGTATCCCATAACTTCTCGTGACAAAGACACGGAAGCAGCATCTGCTGTAGCTTGAGCATTTCATTAGACACACTGTTTACTTTTCTCACACAGCAAAGACTAAGCCATGCACCTTAGCCAGATATATCAGCCAGACAAGTTACAGTATTTGAAAAAGATCACTCATGAAAACTGGGTAAACTGGAATGCTCCAGAAGTGTCGCACGTGGTCCCAAGCCCTAAAGGCCAGATAGTCTTCCAGCTTTATACCACCAGCTGAAGGATCACAAGTCTATCCTCTCATTCAGAGCAAAATATCCCCTCCTACTGAATTCAACAAGCAAACTGACTACAATTCTGACAAGTTGAGTTAAAAAAAAAACACAGAATGTCCATGCAGGCTACTTTCAGTGACTTTCCCTGCTCTGCAGGAAGGCATCTAAAAGGTCCAGTTTATGCACTTCATCACAACAGACAAACCACCAGCAAAGAATTATCTGCCCCACTGACTTTACACACACATTTCTCATTGTTCTTCAGTACAGCTTTTGGGGAGGAGAGACAAAGGAATGTCATCAATTCAGCTTTTTGAAAGAGCACATAGTGTGGTCAGGAACACTGTAAAGGCACTATTATGGTGACAGTCAAAAGTCATTGTCTGCACGGTCATGGTGGAGCATGGGACCACAGCTGGAAGCCAGAATGAGTTGGCAAACATCTTGTTCCAACTTCTGCTGTGCCATCTGGCATCCAGTTACGTGACTGACGTTAAATGTATTTTCTCCGTATTACCATCTGGCAGCTGCTTGTACAACAACAGAGGAACATGCAGAATTTGGCTAACAGTTATCCTAAGAATCATATCAAGGATACTTGCAACACAGACTCTGAAATGAAAAAAAAGCTTACAATGAAAGTTTCTTTAACTGATGGCAGTACATGCTCAGAGTATTGCAGGTGGGGAACAGGGAGTGGGAAGTTATACATCCTTACGTTTTAATGTATTTATTTTCCAGAGTTCCCCTAAAAGATTTTTTGGGTTTGTTGGTTTGGGATTGGTTGTTTTGGGGTGGTTTTTTGGTTTGGTTTGGGTTGGGTTTTGGGGGGGGGGGGTGTGGGTGTGGTGCATACAGGTTTCCAAAGGATGTGAACATTGTATCCAATGAAATGTTCCTTCTTGAAAACTATCAACACTTTCGCCATGATATGGAAATACATTCACTTTTCCAAAACTAGAGAAGCAGGACATTTTTTTTTATTATTTTGCTATGATGTGATGCATGCCAAATGTAGTTTTGATAAAGGAAGCAAATTAAAGGAATTGGTAAGTACAAACACCACAGTCTCAAAAAGGTGGTACTTCAACAAAAATTTCATCTAAAAATGTAAGGAATGCCAAATAGAGTGTAACTACAGTATGAAGTACAGTGTAATAGCTGTAATGCCAGGGCATCATATTTATAAAGGTCACACTTGCAGAGCTTAGGGACCATAGTACCCTGGCTGGGCTTTAAATGTAACAGCATGGGGTGCTTTAAAAAATGGAGTAGGATTTTCAATAAATATGATCCCATGACAGCTTAAATCAATACATTTTCTGTTCTGCCTCCTGCTGTGCATTCCTGCCTCTTTCCTTGCTCCTGTGCTGGTGCTTATGATTCTCAAATAATTTAAACCTTAAAAAAAGCTAATACAGATGATAAAAAAAAGAGGGACTTGTTTTTTTGTTTGTTGGGGGGGTGGTTTGGTTGGGGGTTTTTTTTGAATGCTAGGAAAAGCAATACTAAAGTGCTACGGGTTTGGCATTCGGAGTTAAGCTGAAGTTATTAAATGTAGTACTATTTTGTCTCTACTTTGTAGAGAACATTCAATGTATAATCTTCTACTACATTTCCAGATATTTCTATAGATTAATCTAGGATATACTAAGTCTCTGAAAAGAAGGGTTTGAGTCAAGATCATATGAAAACAAGATTGTCAGTTTCCCAATGCATCAGCACTTCTGTTGATGTTCATTGTCCTAAGCATTTTATTAAAAGCATAACTAGCATTAGCTGGAATACTAGTTATACTATTTAATCACCTCATCCAAAAGCTGTTTTTCTTTGATAAATTTCTAAAATTTAGTCTGCCTTCTATTTTGCACAGCTCTTTCACAGGAAAGAATGAGACAATGCTCTTCTCAAAATGCAACAATATGAGTGCAAACAAGTATATGGAGGTTTGGCTGCACTTACAGAAAAATTCAGGAGTGAACAGTCAAGTAT